ACGGTTCTTCAGCTACTTATCCTTCAAGTTCAAATTTTTCTTCTTTGCCAGACTCGGCAACTTTTTTTTAATCGTAAAATGAAAGCTCATTGAAAATTTCATTCCTTTCTAATAAGAAAATGTTACACCTTCCCATAAACCCATCTCACAGTGGACTTTATACGCACAACTGTTTCTTCCATAACAGCTAAAGTACCAAACAAAAATTATCGACTATAACGGTCTGATCTTGGATAGACTTCACATGCAACAACTAATTGTGGCACCAGGTCTTTGATTTGCTAAACAAAACTGTAAAATAAAAGCAAAAAAAACTGTTTTTCCTCTCAACAGCAAACAGAAGCAAAAACTGCCACATTCTGCAAATCACTGTCAGGATAAAATGCCTGGAAGAATGGGACGCTAGGGAAGGAGAACCAGCGATAACAATGTTGCTTAAAATGTTTGCAAATGTTGATACTTTTGACAGCTATATCTGCTTATACTGCTGCTATTGATGTGGTTTACCGGTGTTGGCAATTTTCCCAAGAACTAAGAGGTACCCTGATAGCAACTGTCTGCACCGGATCCAAATGAATCTGCATGGATTATGCAGTAACTTCGCTGACAAATTCAATACCCTATGGATGACCGGTGCGCATGGTATTTGTTGTTGGTAACTGATTTTATATTAGTTTTTTCTCCGATGGATCTTCAAAGTTTTTTCACATATTTTTCAGAAGAGTTGAGTGTTTCTTGGAAGTTAGTGAAAAAAATTTTTTTCAAAGTTTTATCAGCACCATTGTGCACACTTTCAGCTTTTGATTACCAGTCTTCAGTTCTGGAATGAGGAGGAACTGTCACTAATAGGTTTTGACTGACCGAAGTAAGGATTGTGGTTGTCCAAGAATGAGAATTTTTTTGGTAGTGCAAGTACGTATAATCGCATAAATTTGCTGACTTTTTCCTTAATCAAATGCGATTAAATACTCACTGGTTAAAAAAAGGTTCTCATATATGTATTAGCCCTACTTTTTTTCTTAAGCTTTTTTTCTATTTGTATTATTTTATTATGTATACTTGAATTGTAATGCATCTGCAAAAACAATTTTGTTTTACCTCTTTTGAAGTTTTCTGCTGTCACCTGTAAACTAAAAGTCATATTTTTACTGCTATTTTTTTTGGAACTACACCGATCGAAATGTATTATTTTTAAATTCCCAATTGCTGCTATGAGTCAACCGATCAAAGTTTTTCAAATGGACCTTGAGATATTTCTCTTTTTTTAAATTCATACTGAAACGTTGTAGTTTTTAGTCAACTTTAAACTTTAATTTATTTATTTTTTGACCTCTATTGGTAAATGCTTAGTAATTACCAGGGTTGAGGGTCATAAAAGTTCCAACATTTACCATAGTGAATTACCAGTATAATATTTGCTGCTTGTCATATCAGTAAAGCTGTCCGAGCTTGTTAGATATATCACAGTAAAGATTTTACATAAGTTGCTTGGATTTTATAAAATCTCGCGCCTCTTCAATATCGGGTCACTCTGCATTTGTGAACCGTCTACTCATTTTAGCCTAAGCCGCACAGGGTACAACTTTTGTGGCATTGTCATGTAATTTTCGATTAAATACGCGCTATGCCTGCTCATGAGCTCACATGCATTGTGCGTAGCTGTGTGGTAGGTTGCAGTCTTAAAGCATCCGTAAGCGAAATCACACAAGCGCGATGCCTTGGAAGGTTTTATGGCTGGAGTCAGTTTAAGCGATGGCAAGAACTGGAAAAGGAAGAGAAGGAATCCAAGAAGGAAAAAGAGATACTTCAAAATTACATTCGTTTTCCGACGGGGATGTATCTTACACCAGAAAAACCTAGTGACGGTTGGTTAAAATTTAGTTGAAAATTGTCATAACCCTATGGGTGAAATGAAGTGATGCTGAGTTGCTGGTGTTCAAAAATGGGCTTCTTGTCTTACTTAGATATACGTTTTATAAGTTGTTTTTAGTGCTTCCTCAGAAACCTCTTGCTGAAAGAAATAGAAAAGAAAAAAATCAACTTCCAACGGAACTCTATGCTCAACATCATCAGTTAAGATATCTTGACCATAGTTTTGATAATATGCGCAGATATCTAAGATACGAACATTTTCAACATTTACAATACGACCAAAGGTTGGTTTTTGTTTCTTGGTCGTTCTCGTTGGGTAGCTTCTGCTCTTGAGGAATCTGTAAGATGTTAAGTAAAAATCTTTTGAGGACTGCAAGTACTATTTTTTGGTCTATTTTTTCCAGTTTTGTAGATTTATACCAGAGCGTCTTCTGTTTCTTGGGCCCGACTTGGCTGCTGCCTATTTTCTGGTACATCGAGGTGCCGCTATCAAATTTGTAGGAGACGATGTCTGGATTAAGCGAGACAAGAAAGGAAAATATAACCTGCCAGGACGTAGAGTTCCTGATCTTTACATAGAAGCTATTGATGCTAGCGGAACAGAGTTACTTTTTGAAGGTTAAATTAAGCTTTTATTCCTTCACAGACGTCATATATTCCTGAAGGCTCTTCATTGTTTTTTAAATAATACTTACAATTGGATGAGCTTTTGAAGATAAATTTTAAGGTTTCGATAACCTCAATGACCTGTGCCATGTGAGAATGCTGAGGTTGGCTTCATGCCCTTATGCAAATGACTGGATGTTAGGAAGAGTTAGCACGATGATGTCTCAATCATTGGAAATGCTTGATCTTAGTGGATGTACGAGAATAACAGCAAAAGGAGTTTCTGGGTTGAAAGAGATGAAAAAGCTTCGTTACTTAAGATTGGAAGGACTCGATCACGTCAAGGTTGTTGCAATAATCTTATTTTTCAGGTTACTGACGGAATATTTGTTTTTACAAGTCTTCAGCCAAGTGTTCGTTGGATTTTTGAATATCCACGGGGTTCAAAATTTTCTCCTTTGATTAGAGGGGATCATACTTTTTACGAGAAGAGGAAAAAGAGAAGAGGGTAATGGACGGGAAGAAAAGTCCTTTTTTAGTCGCATCATTTTACTCTTTATTTACTATTTCTGACAGGAGAGACATCATTGAAGCATTGTATTTGTAGAATTTAATATCTCCAGGTCTATAGTCATTTTTTAAAATCAGTTTATCACTTTTAAAATGAAGTAAAAAAATTTTCCTTGTGAAGAAATTTACTTATAATGCTTGTTGAGATAAGCAGAGTAAAATTTAGTTTTTTTTGAGTTACTCTTTCCTACCACTCAGCATAGAACACAAACTATATCACTTCCTACAGAACATTCAAAATAGAATGAATAAATCGGACGCAAAAAACCTCATTTTTTAAATTAATTTTTTACCCAGTTATTATGCGGAATTATCATTAGCAAATTTTCTGGATGTATTACTTACGCATTATTTGTCAAGGCACGCATTTCAGCATTTAAAGAAAAAAAAAAAGCAGCTTCAGTGAGGCATCGACAAGCTCTCTCTGGAGCGCTCACCTTTAAATGGTTTTTTATTTCCTCTTTCTTTATGAGTGGAATCCACAGGGGAGCAGAGTGGAGATAAGGAAAAGAAAAGTACTGTCTTCTATAAAAAAAGGAAAGTGAATAGAAGCTGTTTAGGCGGAAGGGAGCAGCAGCGTTCTGTTAATTGACTATGTCAGATTTACAAGATCAGATCACTTGTTTCTTAATTTAACCAATTTTTTTGGATTTTCAGGATTTAGCGAAAACTGCTTTGCTGCTTGAGGAGGCAATACCGGGGTTGAAGATTCTTGGTGTAAATTACGATAAGGCACTGGAGTTGTTGAAAAGAGAAACTTTGCTGTTGGAGAACGACAGGGTTTATATTGATGCAAAAGGTTGGTGTTATGTAATTGGCTGAAAAAGACAGGACGTATCTTTATTCAGCTATTTTTTGGGTTGTTCCATTTTCATGTAAATCGAATGTTTCATTTGTTTTTTTTCTTTTACTAACAGTATGGTAAAGGTACAACTGCTTAAGGGAATGCGCATGTAGAGGATGATCACGGACGTTTGTTTTATATTGCCGGTCGTGTCAACGAGAGGGCAACTGTGTGTGACGAGGATAAACCACTTATGACTAGGTTGATTTTGATTTTATTTCTTTTATTGTCATTAGTCTCATACAGTTAGGGAATGGAAAATTTACGTTTTTTTCATGGTGTAATATTTAGTTTGATCCGTCGAGAAGTTCCTGCAATGGATGACATCGAGTTTGAGCAACTTGATCGATTATCTGGCGGTAAATTGCGGCATTTGCTTGTGGGTTCTCCAAGCGGATATTCTTGGACAGACCAAGTAATAAAAATTACAAATCGTTTTTTCTCAAAAAGTATTAGTTTATTGTGTTTTGGACAATGTTTGAATACAGAGTAAATTTAGTGAAGATGTCTGGTAGGTCACATGTATTTGCATCTATTTAAAGACTATAACTAAAAATTCGTAGTAGGAAAACTTTTGTAAGCTGGCTAATTTTCTAATGCTGCTTTGGGAACTTATGCTTGGCTGGTTAGGAGGTGTGTTCAATTGTGTGTGACACTTCTTCATAGTTATTGCACTGGTTTTTTTCTTTCAAAGATAATTGATATACTTATTTCAGGTGGAGACCATACTTAGCTTTGAGGAGAAGTGGAAGTCTAAAAAAGGTATCCCTGTGAATCCGAAGATGCTTCCAGCCTCGAAAAGAACAGTTAGCCTGCCAGAAGATAAGGTTAAAAAAATGATAGAAACAGAAGTGAAAGGGTTTGTAACTAGTGGAACGGAAGAAGCTGCAGGAACTGACGAATCAAAAGAGTTGAGAACCTCGTCTAAATTATAGTTTATAGCTGTCATGTTGCAACGAATGAGTTTTATTTTTTTGTCTTTTTTAACTGTTGTAAACGTAATTTTCAATGACATCATTTTTAAGAAGAAGCATTGTTCAAATGTTGTTGATCTTGTGTGGTGTTACTGTCTTTTTGTAATCTTACATGGAGTTTTAATATTTTGATGCTATGAGGCTGCATTCATTTCAGTAGCACTTTATAGCTTTAATTTCGATATGTTTTGCTGTCTCACTTGAATCTATTTGTGTAGAACGTCATTGTAGATCTAAGTATCCCAGTTTTGGTCTGCAATGATTTTAGGCTTTACGGTTGTAAATTTCTTTGGCTACGAGTTGAATAAGAAAACGAAAGCTTTTATCAGTAGGACTTTAAAAGATTGTTTGTGTTATTCAGTAGCTTTTTTTTGTGAGAAGTGCCGCCATTACTGGTCTTGTGATGTAACAGTATTATGCTGTATGTAAATTTAAACTTTATTATTGTTTGAAGAGAAGTAGTTTTAAAATAAAGTAGAAGTATCAATAAAAACAAATTTAATACCCGTATTTTATAGTCTAAAGCATATGTCCGTTCAGGTATAGAGTTTTTTTGATTACCAAGCGCTGAAGCTTGTAAATTTGGGAACGAAGTGGAATTGGTAAAAGGTTTGCTTTCTTAGTACTTTTCATAAACGGAAGCGAATCTTGGTAGGGCGTGAGTTTAGATTTTTTTTCAACGGACAGTTCGCTCTAGAGCTCCCAGATCAAACGAAGCAATGCAAAAAAGGACGCAGGTACAGGAAGTAGAGTGGAGAAAATTTAAACTGGAAAACCCCGTGTTTCTTCTGGTTCTGCTCAGCCGAAAATGCCAAACCTTTTTCCTTGCTGTGGACGGAATCCCATGCCGTTGAATCTGTTCCTAATATTGTTCGGGAGCAGTGGCCTATACGGTATCACTGGTATGTTTTGTAACGGTGCTTGTGGTATCGCATCTTTAATAGTGTTACCAATAATTGAGAAAGCTTGTGTACATGAGTAGAGTTTGTTGATCTTTCGTAGATCAATTTCAGAAAATGCGACTCGTTGACCCATTCGTTCTGCACCGGGCTGAAATTTGCCTCATTAAAGGTCTGAGAAGTGTGAGACAAAAAAAATTTTTTGAAGCTTTTGAACTGTTCTACAGAAACGGCTTCTATTCAGTCACAGACAGATATTTATTCGGTTTCATTATTTATGAGCTTGTTTCGTGGTTATGAAAAATCCTGTGAAACTATAGGGCAAAATTGGAGAATGAGGAAAAACGATACGTTTCGTGCAACGATAGTTCGTCTACCGTTGTCACTGAATGCATAGGGACCATAGTGCATTATCGATGAATAATCATAAGGCTCATTAAGGTGATCCAAAACGTTTAATCCGTATTTTTCAAATTGGTCGTTTGCTCCTTTAAGTACATTCTGCCAAATGATCTCAACATATTGGTCTCTGTCAGCTCTGTAATCATAAGCTTATGTTACAACTGTTCCGTTACTGGTACATGTTGTAGTATGAAATAACTGTAATAGCTGTCAACCTCATCTTATGAAAATTGAATGATATAATGGGAACTTTTCTTACCTGGACTGTTCGTGGAAGAAGCCAACAGCATGCATTAGTTCATGAACTATAGTACCGGTTTGAATGCAACCGGAATCTAGTGACACTGGTTGACGTCCACCAGTTCGGCCAACAAGCGAATAGCAACCTGCATCGGGGTGGATGTAAATGTAATCACGATGTTGAATAGGATCTCTGGGCACAAATTTGATACAAGTTTTGTCGTGATATTCTTGCATCGCTTTAGCAATAACTGAACGGGCATAACCACCATATTGTGTACTCATCGCGTATGGTACAATACCGTTAGGCCACCGACTGTAAGTAACTATTTGTTTTGTCAGCAAGGCTACGAAATTGAATAAATTTCGAACGAGTTTTTTAATTTTGACATATTAAATGTTTATTAGAAAGGTGCAGTTGAATAACGAGGCATTTTTGAAAATTTATTTCGCTTGAAGAGGTATTTCAATAAAAATTATCGAATGTATTTTGTTTAAACTTTTGCTGAACAGGAAATCAGTGATTGTGCGGTTTGTAAATGTTGCCGATACGAAACAAGAGAATAGCAATTTACCGATACGTTTGTCGGATAGCGTTTCGGGTGACACGTACATTATTATTAGTGGCTTCAACAAATTTTTTGATATCAGAAATTGCTATATCTCCTTCAGACTTATTGCCCATTGTCGGGTCTTCCTTTACATCAATGCCTATCTTGCGTAAATCTATCTCATCTACCGGGGTGTTGAAGTCTGTTGCCGATAAAGTTGTTTCTTTATCCTCAACATTTTTGTTAACTATCTGAAAAATAATAAACTGTTATCATTATTCAGTTTTTGTGACTGTGAAAGCTGAATTTTACTGATGTAGTACAGTAGGATCTTTCAAAGTTTTTAATTTTCTATAGTCACCATTGTTAGTTGTTTGGATGGCTTCGCTCAATTGCATTAAATAAAAAAAACGGCAACATATGATTTATCGTTTTAGTGGACAGAAAAAATTTACTTACATCGGTAATTTTAATAATTTTTCCACACCGAATAGACGTTATTGTTAACAGTATGTATAGCAGAGTAGTCATCGTTGTTTCAACTTATGACTGCTTGAAGTTTGGAAGTTTAAAACAGCAAGGCAGTTTAAATCTGAAAAGCAATAAGAAGCTTGGTTATATGCAGTTTCTGAAGAGCCACCGTATAGAAGACGCTTCAAAATGATTGGCATATTTTTATCGATGTAATTTCAAATAAGTTTTTTTACTACCCAAAAATTTTTGGTTGTTATAAGCTTTTAATACAGCATAATGGTTTCTTTTGTTGAGTCAAAAATTTTTACAGTTACATAACAGTTTATTTAAACAATTATATTTTACGCCGATCTTTGTGGGAGGAGAAAAATCCTCTGTACGGTGTCCAAATATGGGTGTTTCAAATTAATGACAAAATGGAATAATTCTTCTGTTCTTTGCTTTTTTTTTTCTTATTCATAAATATATTTATGAATGAATTAGTTGCTGTTAAAAAGTAACTAAAAAAACGACTCAGTGAAAAAACATATATTATCGATGTCTGCTGATCAATGTAAATCTGAATGTATCAAGTTTGAAATTTATTACTTTTTTTCGTCAGATTCATCTTTTTTTTTTTTGCTTTCTA